TCACCTGTCCGAGTATGAGATGAAGCTCTGCAGCTCCTCAGAATCTGTTAAAGCGCAGAAATCTCTCTCCATAATGTTCCGCACGTCTTCATCTCTACGCAACCAACATGGCATCTGTTTGTTTACCAGCGCAGGGCCCCGCCCACTCAGCGCACGCACGCACGCACGCGTCACGTACGCAGCGCTATATATATATATATATCCAGGCATGATTTATTGGAGATAGTAGGTCAGCACACGCTGTAAGTGCGTGTAAATGTGCTGTTGTGGCTGTTATGGAGGTTTCTGCGGGTGATGTGTGTCGTTCCGTGGAGCTCATCACAGCACGAGCGGTCAGTAATACACCTCATATTCACACTCACACACTCACACAAGCTTCAGTCAGCGTGCTGTAATCATCTGTTGTTCAGGATCCAGAGGCTTCTCTTGAGGAGAGCTGCGGCGCGGAGAAGCTGCTCACTGATCAAGGTCTGACATCATCATCATCATCAAGTGTTAAAGGGGTCATGAACTGCATTTTGTATTATTTTATAATGTTCTCTGAGGTTCACTTATAATATTAGTGTGATTAAACATTATAATTTAGACGTAGTAGGCTCTTTATTTTCTATGGAGACAGAGCGACCCGCGTCATAATCTGAAACCACGCCCACCGTTAGTCTTAAAGGTCACATATTTTACACCTTTCTGGAGTTTTATTTTAGGTTTTGATGTCCTTAAGAATATATATTTGCAGGACAATATGGGACCTTTAAAGGGACTTTGAAACAATCCAACGCTCTCCATTGACTTTCTATTGCGGGAAGCTGCCTCCTTGTCATTTCTGACTTATAACAAAATGCAGAACAATATCTAAAAGCTGCTGTGTGACAAGCTGTACAGTAAACAAGCTAAAAAATAAACACATTAGTTCTTAAACTAATGCGAACGTTTTGAGTTCTGAAACTTCCAGGGTGTTTTTATAGTGTATTGACCTGTTATATGTCATACATTTCATGACCCCTTTAATTATGAATCACATTATTAGCGAAAGTATGAAACATATAGAAACATGTAAGACTGTAAGTGAAGTAACTATACTTTTTTCTTGTGTTTTGATCAGTTTTATTACACTATTAGTAGTATATGTAGTATTTATAGTAATAGTTTTGACATCATTCCCAGGATATGAATTTTTGATATTAACAATTACATTTTCACTAGCTAAATTGATCATTTTTTATATCAGGAAAAAAAAATTCAGTAGGTCAGGTTTTTTTTTTTTTTTGCGTGTTTATTCGGCGTCAATGTAAAAATGTGTAAAAATAGTAATTCTTGATATCTGTAATTGTGTGTTCACTAGTTGTGCATTAGTTCACTTGGCAATAATTTTACATAATTTGTGATATCAAAAATTACAAAAATATACCATTTCAACTATAAAATGATTAAGTTTTCACTAGTTATACAATAAAAAAAATAAATTTTATTATACAATAAAATGCAACTTTATTGATGTTAGAAATGCAATTTTTACTCATGGAAATGCTGATTGTTGATTTCAGGAATTACATTTGCACCAGTTAAACATTAATTCATGATATCAACAATTCATAATCATTTTAACTAGTGAAAACCGAATTGTTGATATCAAAAATGTATATCCTGGGAATGATTAAACGTCAAAACGGCTTGCCATAATAATAGTACCGTAATACTCACAGGCATTATATTTGGACTGTATAGCTATATCATCGCCCATTTATATTATATATAAATTATATATATTGTTTTATACATACATATAATACACTCATGTTGAGATATACTGTATCTAAATCATCGCTCAGCTCTAATCTGATAAATGCGACTATAGGGCATGAAGCTATGATTTTCTATAAAGCTGTTCTGGAGCGATGTGCATAATGAGACGCACTAAATAAACGTGACTTGACTTGAAACCACACAACAGAAGAGCGGGTTTGTGTCTCTGTGAGGGTCATCTTCTGCTGTGTTCCAGTGTCTGTGGACCGGATGGACATCACAAAGGGTTTTCTGGAGGATATTTCTCGCCCGGCCTCCAGTGAGATCAGAAGACCGAGTCGAGATGGTGGCAGATCTCTGGAGGTGCTCAGTGCTGACGCCACACACTCAGAGGTAGAGAAACTCCTTCATCTGAGCGTCTGCAGACGGAGAGAACTAACGGCTGGCTGTCTCCTAAAGCAGGTTCACAGGTTCAGCGCACATGAGAGGACTGATCTAACCGCAGAAAACAGCTCTGATCAAGGTAAACATGAGCGACTGGACAGAGAACAATAACTGGCTTCTCTTCTGAAAGAGCTGCTTTCATCTCAAGATTAAACCCTTCACTGTCACCCCCCATTAAAAAAAAAAATCCAAACTTAAATTGTTGTAATTTATGAACACTTTGGAATACAGACCTAAGGTTGGTCTCTTTTTAAAGAAGCAGAGATTGCAAAAGTGAAATTTAAAAAAAAAATTAAAGTATCAAAAAGTTATAGAAGTTTAAATTTACTGTAAATAAAATGCACTATATTAATTTTATTTTATTTTATTTATAATACATATTTTGCATAACAGGTTTTACTCTAAAATTGGTAGCCTTATGTCTAAATAAGTTATGTTCCAAATTTGATATGAAAAAAATGGAGGTTCCTGTGATATTGTATTAAGGGCGTTATACCACAAACAGCCACCGGGTGCCATCCAAACTCCACTGAATTTTTTTAAATGCATTTTTCTGTCACAAATGTCTAGATTTCGCTGTCAATATTGCTATCTCAAAATAACCACCAAATATGGAATCCTGAGACTCCAATAACTGGCTTCTCTTCTGAAAGAGCTGCTTTCATCTCAAGATTAACCCCTTAACTGTCACCCCCCATTAAAAAAAAAAATCCAAACTTAAGTTGTTGTAATTTATGAACACTTTGGAATACAGACCTAAGGTTGGTCTCTTTTTAAAGAAGCAGAGATTGCAAAAGTGAAATTTAAAAAAAAAATTAAAGTATCAAAAAGTTATAGAAGTTTAAATTTACTGTAAATAAAATGCACTATATTAATTTTATTTTATTTTATTTATAATACATATTTTGCATAACAGGTTTTACTCTAAAATTGGTAGCCTTATGTCTAAATAAGTTATGTTCCAAATTTGATATGAAAAAAATGGAGGTTCCTGTGATATTGTATTAAGGGCGTTATACCACAAACAGCCACCGGGTGCCATCCAAACTCCACTGAATTTTTTTAAATGCATTTTTCTGTCACAAATGTCTAGATTTCGCTGTCAATATTGCTATCTCAAAATAACCACCAAATATGGAATCCTGAGACTCAGACCTTTCCAGTGATATGGTTTTTGTCAAGATTATAAAAAAGTTTGATTGTAAAAGAGCGTAATGCATGTTGTAATATGACACTTGACACCGCCCACTAAGGGGGAGGAGACCGCCAAAACATTTTAAAGTACTATTTCTATGGTAACACAATGTCCGATTTCAAAATGGTTTTCACAGGATGAATCTTGGGCTTCTAAGCTTTCAAATGATATATATGATATATTATGATGGTTACTAAAACGTTTGATAGAGAAAAAGGACAACAACAAAATTAATGATCTTGATTTGAATGTATCTTAGTTAAAGTTTGAATAATTCTGTAGTGCATTTTTGTCATTTATGTTTTTATTTTGTGAATATGTCGACATAGTTCCTTTTTTTTGTAGTTATTTTAGTTCAAGTCAGCATCATTGAGATGCTATTATAGCTTTTGTTAATATTTTGAATTAGATTTTATTTGATAAAATATATAGATTAATTGAATTATATTAAATTTTATTTAGTTTTTGTAACTTTGTTATTTTTGTTGTTTAAATGTGTTTAGATACGTCTATATAGGTTTTATTAATTATTATTTTATTTTTTTATTATCAGTTTTTTTATTTATTATTTATTATTTTTAGTTATTTTAGTACAAGTTAAACTAAATAAAAATGAGAAATGTTGCCTTATCAACTAGCTGGAATAATTTTCTAATTTCTCACATTAATATATCAGGTTTTGGACAAATGTTGCACCCCGTCACTAAATACCAACCAACACCAACAAAAAAAAAAGCAAAAGAATTAAATAAATAAAATCGCCAAAGAGTACACTGTAAAAAAAATATTTTTGAAGTTGTAAATAAAGCAAATATGATTAAATGTTTTATTAGAAAATACTAGGCCTATTTCATTCTTTCTACTTCAAAAGTTCAGGTTTAGTTCAGTGTTACTTTTGTGAAATATACTAGCAATTTTAGAGTGAAAATAGTTTCTACACCAAATTTTTGAAAAATAAAACATAACCCATTTTTGCTGCTGAGAACATGGTGTCACTAAACCTGCATAAACTAGCTCAGACCAGCGTGGGTACGTCTTATGTCTGAGCTGGTCTTGAGTGCAGGACATTTCTGATCTCCTAAGTGCTCTACTGATTATTTCACAGAAGAGTCCGATGAAGAAAATGAAGATCCGGAGTTGAGAGAAGCCATAAAGAAGATGAAGAGACTGGACCGGGTTCTGGCTCTCAAGGCGTCAGCGGAGAGAGAGGTGAAGCAGAGAGGAAAGCAGCAGCACCAGAGACTCTGGCAGGAGCTTCAGGTCCGTCTGTGGATCAAACACACCAGCGCTTCATACAGACGTCTGTGTGCTTTACTAACACTGACACACGTTACAGACCGCGAGTCTCAGCATGAGCAGCAACGAGATGGAGAACACCAGACGCTTTCTGGCACTGACACCCAACAACCGTGAGCCTATCAGACTTGCATAAGATAATAATAATTATACGTGAGCCTGCAGCACAAAAGCAGTCTTAAGTCGCTGGGGTATATTTGTAGCAATAGCCAACAATACATATATATATATAAAATACAGAATAAGATTTATGTGGCACAATTTAGATGCAAAAATGATCATGTGTGATATTTGCTGAATGATTCACTCTTATTTTCCTCAATGCGCTTCAGATCAGGACGGTGATGAAGTGGATTTTGTCCCCGTGTTTGAGACTGAAGTTCTCGATCTGAAGAGTGACGTGAACACGAGACACGAGATGGACGGTAAAGGATCGAAGCGTTCTAAACCTGTGCAATAATTTCTGAGTCGCTGTGTCACTGTTTCAGTGTTTACAGAACATGAAAAAACTTGGTGTAAAATCAATTTTCACTCAGAAATTGCTCATACATTTTACAAATATTTACAAAGATGGAAAGTAACACATTGACATTATTGAGGTCGGAAAACTGAAATAGTATTTTCTTGTAAACCGAAAAAAAAAAAACTTTTTTTACAGTGTGTGAATGAAAGATTGTATAGTTAAAACTGATACGGTCAGCTTTAAATAAAATTAATCTGCGTGAATTTGACAAAAACCGTAAAGGATATTCACAGCTCATATCTTACTATTAAATCGAGTCAGTTCAAGTCAGTTTTATTTATTTAGTGCTTTATACAATACAAATTGCTGTGTTAAAAATAAGTAGTTTTAAGAAAGAAAGAAAGAAAGAAAGAATTATTTTTTCATAAAAAATGACACCTGTTTTTTTGCATTATTGTGACATTACAAGTAAGTAACCTTTATTTCTGTAGCGCTTTAAACGGTACAGAATGTTTCAAGGCAGCTTCACGGAAATAAACCGTAAAATATCAGTGTTAATTGTAAAATTCTGTAATTATGAAACAAACTCAAAGCAGCTCTACAGAAGACAATAGAGTCGTTATTCAGATCAATTCACTTTAATAGTGATTTGTGACTTTAATTGACTTTCATGACATTATTTAAATTTTGAAGTACTTTTATGCAGTTTGATTGTAGGTAATATGTCATGATAGTGTTGTGCTGATTTTCATATGTGATTGTGATTTTATGCTGAAATATTACTTGCATCTCTTTTCATTGTGTTTTTTATTATTGATAATGTTGTTTTTTCTGTAGAGTCACACTAGAGGGCAGCCTGATGTCAGGAATCGTAGTTTACTGCAGCTGTCAACGTTTCAGACTTTAACTCAAAAACCTGTGTGAGTGTGTGTGTGAGTGTGTGTGTGAGTGTGTGAGTGTGTGTGTGTGTGTGTGTGATGCAGGTCACGCTGAAGCGGGTCAGCAGCTGATGGAGGATCAGCCGTCAGACAGCAGACAGCGAGGAGCTGCTCGCAGCAAGCGCAGACAAGACTTTGTCAAGAGAAATATTGAGGTATGTCGAGGTCACGATTAGAGTACGACTGAACATGTGGGTGAAGAATGCTGGAAGGAGCTGCTGGCGTACGGTTTATTGAAGGGCTCGTCCCGTTTGTTTTTAAAAAGTCTGAATGTGATACTGATGCGTCAGGTGGTCTCAGGGGGAGGGGCTTGCTTATTCTACAGAGCTTCTGATTGGACAGAAATGAGTGTATTATGATGTCATTGAGAAATTTGGTCTGTTTTCCTGTGCAAAACTCACATTTGTATTTCATGGGATCTTTAAACATGGAAAGACATCCATTCATGAGAGCACAGGTGTAATGTAGAATTAAAACCTGGAAAATTGATTCCAGCTCCACTGCAGAAACTGATGCTCTTCCTCAGTATTTATGACTTGTTTTCCAGTACAAATTTCTTAAATTTACTGGAGATGCAGAAGCACATCAGATAAGAAAAGAAAGTGGTCAGAAAATGAGTTTATGATTAAAACAAGAACAAATTTCTGCTAGTGATCTCAGAAAAATCAACTAAATTCAAAGCTGATTTTTCGGACCACATTGGCAGATATTTGTTCTTGTTTTAAGCGTAAACTCACTTCATTTTGATCAATTTCTGGAAAACAAGATCTCTTATTTTCTGTCATATCCAGCAAATGTATCTTTCTGTGGGTCTTAAGAAGTTCTTAAATTAGAAAAGAAAGTCTTTAATTACATACAGTTGTGGCCCTAAATGTTGCATATACTGCAAAACATGAATACCTTCCTCAGTATTTGTGTCTTCTAATACAAATATTTAAACATCCTTAAGATATGAAGTCTTGAAAAATTTACCAAAATGAAGTGAGTTTATGCTTAAAACAGTCTAAGAACAAATGTCTGCCAGTGGAGAATGAAACTTGTTTTCGCTTTGAATTAAGTTGATTTTTTTTGAGTCCATTTGCAGATGAACTCACTTTGATCTCATAAAACAAGACTTCTTATAGTTTGTCATTCACAGTAAATGAATCTTGATTTAAGAATCTTAAAACAAAAATGGAAATGCTGAGGAAGAACATGAGTTTATGTAGTGACTGGATCATGAAGCATATGTTTGATTATTTGACTGAAGGTGTTTGTGATTGTTCAGCTCACAGAAGCGTCAGGAAACTCGTTTCTGCTCACGCAGCAGGAGAAAGAGAGAATAGAGGAGCTGCTGAAAGATCTAGAGGAAGAAGAGAACAGCAGCGACCTGCTGACTGAACCGCAGGTACGGCTTCATACACGTATATTAGTCTTCACTAGTACTAGTGATCAATCCTCTAAGACTCTGTATTACGCTTCATTAATGGCTCACTCACTGTGAGATTCAGATGTTGTGACTGACAGTTTGTGGTCATTTAAAGAAGTGTCATGAACTCATGATTAGTCAGTGAAAGAAAGCGAATGATCCTCTGATTCCTCAGGTTCAGTCGAGTTGAACCGTTTCGGTGTGTTTGAAGTGACTCGTTGTTCTTCAGGACTCGGCAGCCTCTGGCATAATTAAAGTCTCTCTGCGAGTGTCTGACTCTTTGACCCCGAGAGACATCAGTCTGATAGTAAGATGTTCAGAAGTTCCTATGGAAGCTTGTTTCGGTCACGGAATAGAAAATAAAAAAGGTAATAGCGACTTTTTATCTTTCAATTCTGGCTGTTTTTGTGAGTTTATAGCTCACAATTCGGAATTTATTTTTCATAATATTTTTGTAAAGACAGAGCTGTGAGAGCTCAACTTGCAATTGTGAGTTTAAAATTATATATACATTTCTCTTTCTATATTCTATATATTCTGTATTCTCTATTTTATATTCTTTCTGTTCTATATATTAACTATATGAAATTTTCTAAGAATTGTGAGATATAAAGTCTGAATTGCAAGAAACATGTCACAATTATCTTTGTTTTTTTTGCCTGAGTGACAGAAACAAACAAAAAAAATGAATTGTGAGATATAAACTCAGAATTCTGAGTAAAAGTAAAAAAATTTGAGAGATAAACTTGGAATTCTGTGAAAAAAAGCAAAAATTGTGAGATATAAACTTAGAATTCTGAGAAATAAAGTAATAATTGTGAGATAAAATCTTAGAATTCTGAGAAATAAAGTAATAATTGTGAGATAAACTCAGAATTCTGAGAAAATGTAAAAATTGAAGTTCTGAGAAAAAAAGTAAGTATTGCAAAATATAAATTTGCAGTTGCAAGGAAAACAGTCAGAATTGTGAGATAAACAGTTACAATGATCTTATTTTTAATTAATTTTTTTATTCCGTGGCAGAAAGGGGCTTCCATGTGTTCCACATATTCATCACAGCAAGAAATCCTGCAGATCTTCTCCGATCGACCCGGCGACAATGTTTAACTGTATTTTAGGATCATTTCTGTGTATTTCAGTTTAAAACTCTCCAAACACACAGATCCTCCACAGCTATAATAGAGAGCAGAAGCTTCTCCGTGTTAATGTAGGGCTGTTCGCTGATGTTTTAGTGTTGCTCTGTCTGACTTTAGTACATTTGTAAAGACAGAGAGATGCTGCGGAGGGTGTTGTTGGGCTTATTTCCATCGTACGGCTGTGTTTTAATGCTCACGAGCGCTGAAGGCCAAAGCACTGCACCGCAGCTGTCTTCTGCTGGAGTCGTGCTCTACATCACCTCATCATTAATCGCTGTCGTGCACTTACTCTCTTGCTTCTGCGTTTAGTCCAGTGATGTGTAAACTGCTCATTTTTCTCTAATTTGTTCAGAGCTGGATGATCCGTGCATCTTATATAATGCAGCTTTGCAAGCGCAACGAAGCCTGGTTACCTTGGTTTTGATCTCGCTGTATTCTCACACATGCGCTTCTAGAAATAAATTACAGTTTAACAGAGATTCACATAGAAAACAGCTGTTTTAAATTCTAATAATATTTCATATTTTTACTGTATTTTTGATCAAATAAATGCAGCCGTGATGAGCAGAAGAGACTTCTTTCAGAAACATTAAAAAATCTTAATTATTCCAAACTTTTTGCTGCCAGTGTGCATGTTAATGTAGGTTTTCTTATGATTTGTATTTTCTTCAAATGCAAGATTATTATTAAACATAGCATTCAACTGTTTATAACCCAGGGTTATTATAGTGAATTTAAAAACATTTTTAAAAAAGTTTGTTTTAAACGTTTTCGTTACTTAAAATAAAATTAATGTTAACTGAAATAAAATATAAGCTAGTTTCCAAGGCAACATTTCTCATTTTCATTACGTTTGACTTGATGTACAAAAATAACTAAAACTAAAACAAAATAAAAATTAAAAAATATATAGACATATTTAAAAGACAAAAAAAAAAAACATAACAAAACTACTAAAACTTTAGTTTAGAACTTTAGAAAATATAAAAATAAAATCCAATTCAAAATATTAACAAAAACTCTCAATGATACAAAAAAACACTCTTAGAACCTCCATATGTTGTGCAGTAACGTCTGTTATTATTATCTGGAGCTATACGTTCATATTCCAGTTCAGTACGGCGGATCTATGAGCTCACAGTCATTATAGTGAGGCTTTTAATTACCCATAAGTCTTTGCTGCACGCAGGCAGCATGTCAACGCTTACCTCACCCTCGCCTACCTCTGACCTCAGCGCTCGCCGCTCAGCCTGATGGGAGATTCGCTCATTGGGAAACAGAAGGATATTAGTCAAGACTTAGATATTTGGCTTTAAAGGGCTCTTTGGCCGAGCGTCCTAGAGCAGCAGTCAGGATATTGTGTGAAGTCCAAGAGCAAATACCAGGAAAACCGCTGGGCTTTATTTTCATGTGAGCGCTTCTGCAAAACAGCATGAAACCTGTGACAGAGGCCTGCTGAGGTTTTTACCCTCAGATAATAAATGTTATTGAGAAATGCTGTTTAGCTTCCTATTGATAATCATGTTGAACTTTGTTTAACCCTATAAAGCCTGCTTTATCATATTTAATATGATCCGCATGATCCAGCTCTGCTGTCACTCAATCTGCTGCACGTCTTCTGTCTCTGATTGAGAGTTTAGAGTGTTTGATCCAGTAAAGGTCAGAATAACTGCAGTAATATCTCCAGATGAACACTTACTGGACTGAAGCAGCTCAGCTTTACTTGATTCTCCATCAATCATGTTTTAGAGTCTCAAATCTGATCCTCAGGATCTTTTGAGGAGCGTTTGTTTCCAGAAGCTTTACTTTCACTGTTCCTCAGCGGAGGAATGATCTTCACAAGCCTCCAGAACATCTCACATCTTCTGAGGAGCCTTTATTTCTTCAGCTCTCAATCACTGCATTATATGTTTGGAGCATTTCAATCTCATCTTATATTACTGGAGATATAGAGCAACCACTGATATTTAGATCATTTTATGTCAGCATCTGCTGTACTGTTATAAAGATCTCATTGATTTACATTACAAGCGTCAGAATCTCATCATATAAATATCAGCTTCTGCAGCAGATTCATGTTTTTGCTCAGATTGAGTCTCTGAATAAAACTGAGCTGGTTTTCTCACTATTTCATACTATATTAGCCATAAAAGCTTGAAAAAATGATCATTCTGACATATTTTGAGGAAGTTCATATAAAGTCAACGGGGTCCAGTATTGTTTGGTTTCAAACGTTCTTCAGAATATCTTCTTTCCTACAGGTCCTACAGGTTTGGATCGACACGAGGGAGAGTAAATGATGACAGAAAGATCATTTTTGGGTTAAATGTGCTGAAGGATAAATAAAATAAAAACTTATTTTAATTGTTGGGTGAGTTATTTATTTCTCCTCTGGTTTCCAGGTGGTCTCGTCGACTCTATCAGTTTGTGAAGGTTTCGGTCCTGAACCGTCTGAACTCCACAGTCTCCGTCACATTGACTCCAGACTGCAGCTGCTACTTCCTGTGCAGTACTTCCTGTCTGTGCGGAGCCCGTCGCAGGTACTGATCTCTGCTGATCTTTAGCAGTCCTGCTTTCTATCCAGGATGGTTTTGTGGATCACTTACACTACCGCTCAAAAGGTTGGGATCAGTAAGACTCTTCTGCTCATCAAGGCTGCATTTATTTGATCAGAAATACAGAAAAAAACAGTAATCTTGCAAAATGTTATTACAATATAAATGAATGGTTTCTATTTTAATATACATTAATATATAATTTATTTCTGTGATGCAAAGCTGAATTTCCAGCATCATTACTGCAGTATAAAGTGTCACATGATACTTCAGAAATCATTCTAATATGCTGATTTATTATTAGAATTATCAATGTTGTGCTGCCAAATATATATTTTTTGGAAACTGCGATACTTTTTCAGGATTCTTTGATGAATAAAAAGTTAAAAAGAACAGCATTTATTCAAAATATAAATCTTTTCTAACAATATAACTCTTTGTTATCACTTCTTATCAATTTAACACATCCTCGCTGAATAAAAGTTTTAATTTCTTTTAAAAAAAAATAAAATGCAGCCTTGATGAGCAGAAGAGTCTTACTGATCCCAAACTTTTGAGCGGTAGTGTAGGTTGTTTGTGGATCAATTTTGCACAAGTCTGATAACAAACAGAGAGCAGTTTGTTCTGAATCATGATGTTCTTTGTCGTTCGACCGGCTGTTTACTCTGTGAATCCATGAATCACAGCTGTATGGTTTGAATGTGTTCATTATGAGCGTCTGTAACAGAAGCTCACGTCCTCTTCAGGCCAAGAGACTGCACTGAGGCTGGAGAAGTGTCATAAATAAAGAAATATTGAGGTTAATTTCTCGTCTCATTCGTCCTGGGAGCAGTTTGAAACTCTTTCCCATTGACTAGGGATGTAATGATTAACCGCGAGCCGGTTGAAAATCGATTCAAATATGTGACAATTCAAATCAGTTGAGATGCTAAACAAATCGCGATTCAATTAGGTGTAGGAGTTTATATGAATGTATGTCTGAGGGGAACTTACTGTCTTTAGAAAA